GTATATGTTTTAAACTGTTTTAATATTTTTAGTAGTTTAATTCTATTTTAATTCTGTCTTTTTATATGTTTTTAACTATGTTGTAATCATTTCAATTTGTAAATACAATTTTAACTAGACTTCGTTTTATTTATTTTTGTAAGTTGTTTGGGTCCCTAGCTAGGAAAAAGATAGAATATAAATTAAATATAAATAAATATGCCAGTTTGAGTCCCAATCTAAAGAGAAAGTTGCTGTTGCTCCTCCTCCTCCTCTTCTTCTAAAAGGTTTTTTTTTTTTTTTTTTGGTGTTCATCCAGAACAAGGGAGGCTGAAGGCACTAGCCCAAGACCCTATGTTTTATTGTACACTGGTGCTGCTCCCTGCAGTTCAGATTTTGCTATTTGATAAAAATGAGTTCCAGATTAAAGTGGGCCCTCAATATCTGCTGAGGTTTGGTTCCAGGACCCCCCATGGATACCAAAATCTGTGGATGCTCAAGTTCCATTATATCCAATGGTGTAGTAAAATGGTATCCCTTATATAAGATGGTGAACAACTCAAAGGTTTGCTTTTTGGAATTAAAAATAATATTTGTGAGCCATTGTTGGTTGAATATGTGCATATGGGGGGCCGACTGTACAATGAAAATGGCTACTAATTTTTAAGCGAAGGTACCTAAACACTGTCAGGTCTTGCTGATCAAGACAACAAAGACTGGATTCACAGAGTAGGGCAGCGGTCGGCAAACTATGGCCCACGGGCTGAACCCGGCCTGTCGAGGCCGTGTAACCGGCCCACGGCCGGTCCTGCTGCTGCTGCATAGAACGTAAAATGGCGCCCTGCATCATGCACGCATGTGCACAAAAGCAGGAGTAGTGTACATGTGCACGTGCGTGCACCTCTGGCGCCATTCCCCTCCCTTCGGCCCGCCGATGATCGGGAAACAGCAGAACCGGCACCACCCCCAAAAGGTATGCCGACCCCTGGAGTAGGGGCTGGATATATTGGAAGATAGGGGGCAAAGGTAGGGGCTAGTGGTTTCCACTTCAGTGGAATAGTGAGTCTGCTCTGGGTTCCAATGTAAATCTTCAAGTAGCTATTATCCAAGGTGCTGAAAATATTTGGAGGCTGGGGCATTAGCACCTTGGGTAGCATCTTTAGGGTTTTGGCAAATTACTGGTGGATTCATTGTCCCACAGATGTGTAAGGACCAAGATGTGTAAAGCTGAGCTCTATCCCCAAAATATCTTCATCTCTTTGGATAGCTCCTTTAAAGTTCACAGTAAAGCTCAGAGCAGATTCACTACTTCACTGACATGGTTGCCACCAGCCTTCACTGAAGGAAGGTGCAAGTATAGCCAAAAATATTAATTTCCTTTGAGCAAACCAAAGGCATGATCACACAAGGGCTCTTCTCCCACTGAAATAAATTATTTCTAGAAATGCTATGCAATCAGGGATGCTTTGTTTTCTGTCATACCTTTCTGGGATGCACTGCCAAGACATCCTGTCCCTTTTGGCGCACAGGAATACAAATACAAATGCACAGAGATACATCCTTCCCACAAAATATAAATGAAATATAAATGAAAACCATTTTATGTTTAAAATACTTTTAAACATACTTTAAAATACTTTTAGGGAGGGCTTTCTGGTCAGTTAGA